ATGATGAAAAGCGCCGTGAACGTATGCGTGTGGCGTCTGGAAAATAGACTATTGCTAAACGTTTGGGGGGCTGGAACGTTTCACGCACACAATAAAACTGCCTAGCAATTTGCTATAATTTCGTCTGTATTGCGCAACATAACGTTTCGTCAATATTGCCTCCTTGATTACGCATAGGTTAAACAACACGGAGGATCGCAATTTAGTTGATTAGACTTCTACCAAAAACTAAACGCAACGCTAAATTTAACACGTAATAATTTCTCGTAAAGCAATACTATCCTCTTTTTGAAAAACAAATTATGTCGTACTTGAATATAACTATAGTTAAGGCTTGCATCCAATTCGGACTTCAAGCAGTGCGATAATTCATCCCAGAACCACTTCTCTTCGAATCTGCCTTCTCACAGGCAGGACTAAAGATCCAGCACATCATAACGGGTCGTTTTGAACTAAAACTAAATTTTAGCATGTGAGATCAAAATTATAGTCGAAGTTCCTATATCCAACCCTTCTTAAAGAAACGTATCACTAAATCTTCAAATGTTTTTTTTTTTTTTTTGTGTGTGTGTGTGTGTGTGTGTGTGATAGTTGTTGCAGTTTGAGTGAGTTTATTTCACTCAGAATTTTACGTCTGGTGGGTCAAACCTGTACTCTGTTTCATACTTAGTGTGCAACACTCTCAAAGCTACTGGCGCGAGCATGGGGCTTGACCTCGTTGATCATTTGCACGCGTTCTCGCGCAAACAAAACCATAGATGAAGCCACGCGCTCGCGCCAGTAGCTTTGACGGCGTTGCACGCTAAGTATGGAACAGGGTATAAAGCGGTGAAATAATTAACATCCGCAACTAAATGTACATTTTTGCAAGGTAATAATTTTTACTTAAGTCCTGCCAGTAGTATAAATTACCGTTAAATTTAAATGAATTATTTTAGCAAACCCGTGTTTACATGCAAGTCCCACAAAGTTTCTCAAGCTCATGCTTGAAAATGTTATTCCAAATTATTTGCAAGTACATGACTGCTCCTAAGCATTCGATAGCAACATGCAAAAAGCAGACATACAAAAAAGTAGCAAGGGTTGGTAAGCGACATGTGGCACCGCTCACTCCTTATGACGTCGAAAGAGGCTTTTGTTATCGAGAAGCGGATCGAGTAGAATTTAACAGTGCGTCAGAAAAATATGCACTGAAGGTTTAACCTCTGGAATCTTCAACACAGGTCATTATCTAGTTGTCGCCTCAAATTCGCACTCTTTTTAATGTGAGTAACAACTTGTTAACCCTCAAATTGACCCATCTTTGTATGACTTACAATCATCTCACACTCACGTTCGTTTCGCTCCTGATGTCAGATTTTACATTAAGAGTTACAGCCAACCATTTTAAACGGCCGCACATTAATGACTTTTTATTGAATGCCTAATTAGGTTTAATTATTTCCCGCGTAGAAACCAATCGTGATTTAGTCCAAACTTAAGTTAAATATACGCAGTGCCTAATAAAACGAGTTAAGCAAATTGAAATGAAAGCGGAGCTCGGGCCATTGAAAATTCCACATAAATAGTTTGTTTTCTCTCTGACAGACCGTTGTAATTTAGTGCGTGTTGTTATATGGTGAAGGTTTTAGTAAAAGTATGGTGCCTCGATTGCGTCTTCGACTGGTGTGTTTAGCGCCCTATCCCGCCCATACATCAAAAGTGGTCCCAATGTGGCAACAAATGACGCGAGTGTCATGCTGTTGCCTGTCGCGATCCTGGCGGTTGACCGTAGAAATGCTGACGAAAAGCACGAGCGGACGCGAGTGTCGCTGTCGTCACGGCGTTTCATTAGGCGTCCTAACTTCCGGCTGTCCTAGCTGCCGTGAACTGTCACAATGGAAAGCGACCTGCAGCAGAACAGGCGTCTGCCGTACTTACCACAACTGTTGGGACACCGTCAGGGTCGCAACCGGCGACAGCATGACACTTTTATGACGTCATCAGGCGGAAATCGAGGGACCACTTTTTTGGCCGCGGTAAACACACCAGTCGGAGACGCGTTCCAGGCACCATAGTAAAAGTTTTGAAGGATAAATTCATCTAAACAAAGAAATGACAGAATTTTTTTTTTTTTTGGAGGGGGGAGGGGGGGGAGGGGGGATGAGATTAAGAGGTGATACAAGCAATAGCCGTGGGGGGCCACTATTGCGTTTATTTTGGCAAATAAAAGCAACTAGAAAAATTGTCAATTTTATTTAATTTTTTATTCGTTTTTTTCTATCGTACTAAATGCAATTGTGACTCACATTGCTATTTGAATATTTTGCGTAAGAGGGGTTTAGCTGAACATTTGTGCATAGAATTCTCTTAAGCTGGGATAGGGTAATTATTTTATGCCTTCAAATAATAAATGCACCACCTACGGGCACCTCCTTAGTGCATTGTGTTGTGGCACGCTAAGACACCAATTTATGAACCTATGCGGCCTTTTTAAAGGGTGAACCCACCATCGGTCAGGTCCTCGATACTTCTTGGATTCATTTGTGGTTGCCTCCAAAGCATTAAACAATTTCATAAAATGAACACTGTATATATAACACAGCAGAAAAATAGCGTTCTCAGAAGACGACTGGGTAATTGTCTGCCTTAATGTAGTTCTTCAGAGTGACCAATTCAAAATTCGACTTAAAAAAAAAAAAAAAAAACATTTGTTAGTTTGAGGAGACGAGCCGTCAGGCGCTCAGAGAAAACGCCCATTTTACCATTTGGGCTAAACAAAAAAGAAAAGGCTTTCCACTGCCTAGGCCATTGCAGACAAGATAGTTTCCCTAAGCGATCGTGCAGTTACACAAATGTAGTGATGTCATCCTGCACGAGTCAAATGATTCTCCAAACCTATGTCTAAACGTAACGGGGACATCGCTTAAAAAAGACGCCTCTTCGAGAAGCTCCACCCGCGTAACAATAAGCTCAATCCAACAATCTTTACGCTGACCTTCTAGGTTGCTGAGAAGCGGTCCAACAAAAGAAGAGAAATCGTCTCGTGCATATGTCTGGATTCGCGGAACTGTTTTGAGCCGCGTTTTTCGTCATACGGTTCGCTGTGCCTCACTCTAACGTTCTTACAACCTCGTGCCAGAACGGTCATGATTCGTTCTCTCCAGCAGCCGGAGAAGATAGTAAGCAACTATGGGTTCTTAGTGCTTGTCCCGTTGTCAAAATGGAGTGTTTGTTTACGAGTCGCCGGCACGGTTGAGATGCTTGCAAAGCCACTTGTTTCTTCATTCCGTTCCTCGCAGACTATATTTGTCTTAACGCAGAACTTTGTATCCCGGCAGGAGAAAAAAACAATCGCGGCTTGTAGTTAGGAAAGCAAGTATTTACTACGGCGTTTTGTCACCGTGCAGTTGCTTTAAATCATCCTTTCTTTATTGGTTGCCATCACTTCGCTGCACGCGTAAACCTCATTTTAAGGAACATAGGATTACGATGGTTTCTTGATCTATACGTACCGGTCGATTGGTGCATTATACTTAGAGTATTGGCAAACAGCGCAAGTCACCGTGAGTATGCAACCCTTGTATGTTATTCTATTAGTTATGCTCCTGCATGCTTCCGGCTCCGAGTAGCTTTACACTATATGTCGTCATGGATTAATTTTTACGTTCGACACGTTTCTATTCAGAGAAACAAATGTACTCACCGCCTCTTATTTGAGCATCTTTTCTGAACTTACGCAACATTGACACATCTTCATAAGTTCAGTATTAGTGATTGGAGTGTGCAAGTATTAGCTAAAACAATAATAATCCTTGGAGAGGGGAACAAGGGGGCAAGGGACAAACACAAATATCTAAACACAGCCAGATGACGGGGGCGCGACTGGAAAAATCCGCCTGGTCCTGGCATCAAACCAAGGACCTCTCCATTTCCAGTGGAGCGCTCTACCGACCGAGCTAACCAGGATTTAGACGTCAAATAGAGCAAACAGCTTTTAACAGCTGCCAATCAGGACCAGGCGGATTTTTTTTTCAGTCGCGCACCAGTCACCTAGATGTGTGTGGAGATTCGTGTTTGTCCTTTGACCCCCTTGCCCCCTTTCTCCAGGGATCATTATTGTTATTCCTCTCCAGCTCGCTTGTACCTTTGGATTAATTGTGTTATCATCATATTAGCTCAAGATTGAGCAGAACGTCAGGAACAGACTAAAACGACATATTCACGAAAATTGGTACATTTTATTTCAAAGGAAATTTGAATAAGACTCACTAGAGAACCAAGATTATTTGTATGCTGAGAATAGAAGAGCAAATTATCTTAGAAATTTCGAAATCACATAGCTTAATTTTGGTGTTTCTTTTTTTTTTTAACCACGAATACAAAACAACAAGAAACTGAATGCAGGGTTGACAAGGAACACATTACCGGAGAGAGAAAAAAAAAAACACTAAAACATACGAACACAATTCGTCGTTCACGTCATCGCAACTTGGTGATAGCACGTCAAATCATAAATCCATACCCGCGAGTGCTGACGAGCGTACGTGAGAGGTCTATACGAGATCCAATAATTCCTTGTAGTGTCATCAAGAGGCACCAACGAAAAAGACAAACGCGTCGGCACGATGAGGCTCCATTCGTCCACAATTTTACGGGGTCAGTTAAAAGCTCTCGTTGTAGCGAATTCGCAATAACACGACCAAGTACGCACCGACGCCATATCAAGAATGTATGTAGATATCCAGCAACGATACAATGATTACTGGAAGCCAGAATGCAGACACCGCGAACATTCCACGGCACACCTTCGCCGCCGACCAGCCCTTAGCTCGACGAAGCGTACAGGCGTATAGCATCGATACTTGGCTTTACGTCTCGATCCGCGGTCGGAAAATGTTGCCTTTCACGCAGTCCCGAAAGAACGGCGTGGCTGCGGGCGCCACGCTATTAAGCCCATCTGCGCACCGCGTCAGACGACCTCCTCCTTTGTGCTGTCATAGGCAGCTGGAAAGAAACATACGGGTAGTGACGAGTACAACGGAGGGACATGGCGAATCGTGTTCGCGTGCAGCCGGCCAAGCACTTCGGTCCTCGCTCCCCTTCGAGATTCATTCCTCGCTGAAGGTGAGCTCACCTGCCGTTGCCTTGGGAACTGACCGCTTCCTCGCGTTGTGCGCAGCTCCTTACCGGCCTGTGTGATCGTGTGGGATCGCTTTGTGAATTTCGTCGAGAAACGGGTGACTGGGAGTGCCACATGCAGCGTTTTATTAAACTAGACGTTCGATTTCTTTTTTGTTTTGTTTCGTTCTGGACTTGAGTCTCCAGGTTGTGATTCTAGCAGGTTGTGGTTAAGGCGAATGCCTGGTGGCGACTTGCACGGGCCACATCCGGAGATCCACGTGGTTTTTTGTGGCTTTGGCATTCTATTGTCTCGGACGTTCAAGGAGCGGGTTTTATTCAAATAGCTCCTGCGGTTCGCTCTCTTCCGGAGTTCGCATTTACTTAATTTTGCTGAGGGAACGCTGGTGGGCTGTTGGCGCGTTTGCCAACGAATATTGCCTTCGTCAATTAACGATGGAGTGAACAACACCGCGTGTTTTTTGTTCATAGATATTATCGTCGGAGATTGAGTTCCAGCCGGTTGACTATGCACATAGGCTGTGCAGACTTTGTTGCCATATTTATTGCAGACACTCTATTACATTGCCTCCAAGCTTAGTTTCGGTCGGTTCTGGTATCCCTTCCGAATCTCAGAATATGCGCTTGATTTTATAGAAAGTTTTACAGTTTAAAGCTTTAGATATTTTGTGTCTACTATAAATTGTATCTTACAACACTCACGTGCCTTAAATGTTATATTATAATAAATTATATTCTACAGGCCAAATATACAGATGCAAAGCGCCGCCCTTTGGTCTGAGACTCCGAAGCCAAGTTCTTTAAGTTTAAAATGCCTACCGAGCGCTATTCGTCACACCCAGGGACGTCATTGCCCTTCGCGGCATGTTCATCGCAGATCTTTTGCAGAGTAAAATTCCGTTGCTCGAAATTGTTGCTTTGTTCTGTTGGGCGGATAAGAAGGCGGCTCTAACGACAAATATCTTTATATTCTGGATAAGTGTTCGTAAGATGCACCAAAACCCCAAACTGCGGAAACATGCAGCGTAACAATGGTTACGTCAAATACGAGAATCCCACAAGCTTCAGTGGACACTTGAGTTAGTTGATAAAAAATGCTTGTAATTAAAAGTAGCGCCTAGATGGGAAAAGTAACCGAAGTTTACGAACAGATAGTTGAGCTACTATTGAAGCGTCTCGAAAATGCATGTCCCAGAAACAAGACAGAAATACACTCGTCCTTTTACTAATATTATGTAGGGCGATCATTCATCGCATTGATAAGATTTACACCGGATACCTGTACTTTACAAGTCTATAAGGTGGGTTACGTGAGGTTAACGCCGCCTAATCTACCTCCTTGGACGACAAAATTCAACAAGAATAATTGTCTATATCTACGTAACTTTTTTTGCTTGTATATTCAAGGCGGCTCGGCTTGAAAACTTGAGAGCTAATGTTAATTGTATAAATTAAAAAAGAAAAAAAAGATATCTTGTTATTATGAATCTTACTGGGAACATAATTGGAAACAGCGTTATAAAGACTAAAAGTTTTTTGTTCCTTTTTTGATATATTAAGATAAAAAAATGTATCAAGACAATGGTTTAGAAAGAGGCGCTTGTGGTCAACCTATAGCAAGCTTAGCAAGCTGGGCATATTATGACTTTACTAGTGTGATTGCCCATGGATACTATGCTTGTCGAATCAACCTTAAATGATTTTATCCGGCTGGGTAGTCTGTCGCTAGAGGAGTACTTTTTGCAGCGCAGATAACATCTTGCCTTTTAATATGCGAAAGAATATAATTATTTTTAATTTTATAGCGCTGCTCGCTGAGGGACTTATTTGTCATAATCGTTAAGACTTCCCAAAAATATAATAACTCTTATTTTAAGCATTCCTTCGACAACCTAATTATTTATATTTCAGAAAATAACTACATCTTTCCGCTCTACTTTATCTAGGCTTTTGTTCATTTCTAGCACTGCCAAATAGTACGAGTTAGTGCATTACTGGAGAGAACAATATGCGTGTTTAGAAATGTATTAAAAATTGTCAATCATACATAAAGCATACGCATCACTTTACGCAACAGTAATGAGCCTCCTCGGTGATTTTGAAGCAACCCTCTGGCTTGCGGACGCTTAAATTCCAACTCCAGTAACCACAAGCCAACGGATTCTGGTTGTGGAGTAAAGGCTCTGGTGTGAGAAAAATTTTAGTTTGGTGTTAAACATACACCACGTAATCGAAATTAGGCGTCCTGGCTTCAGTGAGACGTGCCAAAAACGCATTCGTAAAAGCTCTCGCAACAGAGAGGACAGCAAGAAAAATAAATGAAAACTATATATTAAAAACACATTTCACCATTTGTACTAAGACTATTTTGCACGTCGAGTATGCTATGCAAAATGAGGGAAAATGGCACGATCAAAATCAACTCTATAAAACTTTTTCACTAATTTATGTGGATTCGGCTGTAGCACCAAACAACTGAGAAGAAACTTACAGAGGGTACAGTCAATTTCCTATTCCCCATGTGTGCGAGAATGAATCATGCACCCTTCTTTATTACTTTACGAGATTTTCACTAAAAGCCCATATCTACTGGCGAAACAAGGTTTTTTAAAAATTTACTGAGAATGTGCTGCTGTGTAAGGTAATTATTTGTATAAAACATGATTTTATGTAATGTTTTCACTAAAATGGCTCTAATTAAAGCCCGGAAATAGTTTTGGACTTGCTCTTAAACCACCCTTTAAATTTCAGTTGATAAATTAAGTGTTATTTTTTTTTCTCGAAGACAAGCTATCTTGCCCCAAAATACAATACAAGACGGGCGTTCACACCAAGAAAGTCGCGAATGTCTCAACAGTCTATGAGTTCACGTGTGCTGCTTAACCCCTCTGCTTGGTATTCGCGTTCACTTGAACGCAACTCGGCACCGCTCAACCGCGGCGCTCCTGCAGTCTCGAAAAACTTTACTCTTGGGCAGCGTCCAATGTTGTCGCCAAGAGGAATTGAGAGAGGGCCCTTTCCTTCATGCACACAGCGCCTATTTTTGGGAGGCCCTAGACGCGGGGGCGCTCAGCAGTTCCCACTCATTCGGAGTTCCAACTCCAACGCGACATGTGCTCCCGCAACGGTGACACATACCCCTGCTGGCGCTCCCCTGCTCACAGTTCGACTGAATGACCACCCCTGCAGGTCCGGGCTACGGCGGTTGACGGAACGATGACCGTGGCGTTGATCCGGCAGTGCCATGTCCCTGGTGAACCTCTTCGGCGGCCTCCGGCGGCTGCTGCGCCGGCGAAGCATCCAGATCGACAACTGCGTCTTCCGGCTGCACTGGTTGGTGACGTCATCCGTGCTGGTCGTCTTCAGCTTGGTGGTGACTGCACGGCAGTATGTTGGCGACCCCATCGAGTGCGTGCCTCCCACGTCCGACTTTCCCATGGAAGTGCTGAACACCTACTGCTGGATTCATTCCACATTCACCATCCCGGCGGCCTTCAGCAAGAAGGTCGGGTACGATGTGCCACATCCGGGCATCGACAACGCCGAAGACAACATCACCAACCGAAGGTACAACGCATACTACCAGTGGGTCTGCTTTATGCTGTTCTTCCAAGCGATACTCTTCTACGTTCCATACTACATCTGGAAGAACTGGGAGGGCGGGCTTCTAGAAGCCATCACAATGGGCATGCAAGTTGTCATTATGGAGGACCAGGAGCGCGATCACAAGAAACGCATCCTCACGGAGTATCTGCACCGGCACATGCGCCATCACAAGTTTTACGCGCTCAAGTACATCGTCTGCGAGTTTCTCAGCCTGGTAAATATCATCGGACAGATGTTTCTCATGGACAAGTTCCTGGGAGGGGAGTTCTGGCGGTACGGCACGAAGGTCGTAAGTTTCGCGATGAGCGATCAGGAGGAGCGCAGCGACCCTATGATATATGTATTTCCCAGAATGACGAAGTGCACATTCCGCTCGTTCGGGTCATCGGGGGATGTCCAGTCGCACGACTCCCTTTGCCTTCTTCCCCTGAACGTCGTCAACGAAAAGATCTACATCTTCCTCTGGTTTTGGTTCATCATACTGGTGACGCTAACCTCCTTTGTGTTCGTGTTGCGGATAGTCGTGCTTATGGTGCCCAAGTTTCGCTTCCACATGCTCAAGTCGAGGAGCCCCCTGATGAACCCCGAGGACCTCCAAGTGTTGTCTCGCGTGGCCAACGCCGGCGACTGGTTCCTCTTCTACATGCTCGCCCAGAACCTCGATCCTCTAGTCTACAAGGAAGTGGTGTCCGACCTGACAGCACTCATGGAGGGAAAGGTAGAGGAAGCTAGGGCGCCTCTCAACTCCATCTGACGGTGGCAACGCAGTCTTCCCAAGGACAGCAGCGTGGCAGTGCCAATCGAAGAGCCGCAGCGTCTTCAGGGCCCGGTCCGGGCGGCTGACATGCGAGCTGGCACCGCGCCACTCCGTTACGAAAACCAAAGACCCCACGAGAGGTACGCGGCGCGAAAGTCTCACCAGGAAACCGCACGCCGAGAGGACAGAGGTGGCGGCCGCCGAAAATAACGGAGCTGAGCGAAACTCTGCTGAAAAAAAGAAGAAGTCTGAAAACTGGGAAGTCTGCGTCTTTCACCTGTCAAAGAGGCGTTCCTTTCAGGTCAAGTTACGCCCTGAAATTCAAAGTGCAAACAAGACGGTGATCATGGGACACCACTCGAGGTCCTGGATGTTAAGGGATCCAAGCTGTCTGACATTCAATGAATGTGATCACCTCATCCTACAGCGGCGGCCTCGCAAGTATGCATTCCCAAACGAAAATAAGAAATGACTCTTTAGTAATGATGGGTGTCGTGTTTCCTGTATTTGGGCTAAGTTGAATTGTCGATATCATAGTTGTGACGACGGACTATGGGTTTTTTGTCTGGTCAATATAAAGTGCTAAAAAGTTGCTGATATTTTGACTGGGCAATGAGAGAAACAGCGAGTTGGTGCACAATTATTAATATGAATATTTTACTTATCGATATAGTTTTAAGATCACATTATTTCTGTCTCGCGAGTCATCCGACTGAATCAGAATTTACTCAATCATTCGTTGAGTTTTGTTTGCCGTCCAGTGTCTTAAAGTTAACCTTTCCATTTGTACTTAAAACAATGTCCAATCTATCGGGATTGGGCATGGTTAAATTTTGGAAATGAAGAAGCAGATTTGCATAAATCTGCTTCTTCATAAATGGGCGAGAACAAGATATGTGTCTGTGTGTATTTAATCCCGCTCATTAATGAATACCATTGATACTGTTGCAGTTTATTTAATCAGTAAATGGTTATTATGGTCTAGCTATGGCACTAGTCGTTGCTGATGTTAGTTCTAACGCGACTAATAGATCTCGAAAAATGTTGAAATTCTTATTTCTTTCGACCATACTTTGTCCGCACATAATTTGACAGCGGAGTGGCGGCTGCGTAGTATTAGGAACAATAAAACCTCAGTCTCATGGCACGTAATATAGAACCCCTGTATGTGAGCCAAGCACAGGAGAACCTGGTCATGTGACACACAGCCAGGTTTTGTTGGTCCAGCAATCAGTAGATATTATTACATTTTGAGTTAATTGGCGTTCGTAGTTTATCCAAGGTTAGCTGCGGACGGATGAACACTAATACGCGGTGCACACCTTAATGACGGATCTCGCAAACTTTAAACATTTGTAAACATTTAACGAGAAAAAAAAGACGCGTAATATTTAAAACACTCATACTTTTTTTTTTTTGATTTTTGCTATGAAAATAATTTGTATCGTTGTTTGCGATTGTCACACATACGTCTGTACATCATGACAAGCCCTCGGGATGAGTATTGTTTACTGCAATCCATGTTTTTCATGATAATTTTAGTGCTGATATGGCCGCACGTTCACCTACCAAAAATACAAATCGGTTGTCTCTAGATAAATTGGGAAGCCGGGTCACTTAGAAGTAAAACTGTTTTCATTAATACAAGAAAAAATCAGTCAGCTATAAAAGCGTTCGTCTACAATACCTACCGCAGCGGGAGGGTAATCGGATCAGTTGTGCACCGAAGTACCGTGGCGTCTTCAGCGCCTCCTCTCAGGCGTGATCACACAAGGATTCTCCCGTACAAGGCCTTCACCCTTAGAAGCCGATAGGGCTGGGATTTCAACACAGCACCCAAGAGATCGACAGTACAATCGTCAGCTCCTATACGGCACCCCTATTATGCGTAAGCACACTCGGCCACGTATTTCCCAAAAGATTATGTTCAGGTTTATTCAAATAAGTTCGATCGATCGTTTTAGACTTATCGTAGGAATGAGTACGCCCTGATAACCTTAAGAGTTCATGGCTGTCCTTTAGCGCAAGATAAATTCGGTTGAATTCAAGTAGGCGGTGATGACAGTCACGTACAACCAATTGCGTCCCAGCTTTGACGCATGCTTTGATATTTTTCCACGGCGTGATATTGCACGTTAAAAATATTGATAAATATTATTATTATAATTTGTAACTGTATGAGATGAAAAGTGGATCTTTCCAAAGTAAAATAGGCTCAGATTACAATACAACGAAGGATCTATTTTGCGTATATATTCATGTGAAAGTCGGCTGTCTCGAGGTGGTAATGTCTGCATCTGGGTATATACGGACTTCAATGATTTATGTCGGGCGGGGGGGGGGGGGGGGGGGGGGGGGGGAGTAATAGAACTTTCTTTCCGCCTTATTATTACGTGATAGGGCATGGCACTGATCGGTGAGATGGAAGCTGTCTCTAACGGCGGTATTAGCTCGAATCGCTATAGGGTATTACCCGCGTAATTATCGTTGCCTTTTAGTCTTCATTGTTTGTAATACGTGTTATCTTATGTTTGCTCGCATACTTCTACAGCAATGTGTAAAACAACTTTCTGTATTTTTTATGGTGCTTTATTTTTATGTATTTGTCTTTCATAGCGTAGACGGTGACAGGAGAGGAAACTAAAGCACATATAGATTAGTTCCTCTTTGTTTTGTTTTTTTCATTTCTCATCCTCGAAAAAAAAAAGTAGTACGAGGTATTGTGTAGCTTTCCAGTAAACATCGAGTATAGGTTTCTTTCGAAATGGCATGTTAGCTACATTTGTGAGTATCGTAGTATATTTCTATATTACAGCGTGGCAGTAGCGGTGTATCTGTAATCGATAGAGTGTTTCGTGAAATATTGTTTTACCTTTAAAGATTTGCAATTATTTTTATACGTTTATACGAGAGCGCCATTTGCTACACCTGCTATGCTGATTTTTTTGTTTCATACTGCGTGTGAGTTTGTGTGGAACTATGTGTTGGAACACACATGACTGCCATGAACATAACATCGTTCCTTTTACGGTATTTAGTGTGAATTTTGAAATAATAAAAAATAAATCATGTTTTTCACTAAGACGTCTGATTGTCATTTTCTAACACACTTCATGTCTCAAGGACCAAGCTTATCACGGAGTGTGTCAGCAAGCGCTGTTTGAAATGCATTTGAAATGCACAAAGAAGCCATCTGCCGACTGACTTCTCAGTTGCAATTGCAATAAACTTTAGACCTAAACTAATACACTAAACGCACAGATGACTTCTTGTTCCTAACGTAACTGACGAAGTGTGCCCAATATTACCTTAGGACATTTTCAACCATTGCCTCAAAAGCAAGCACGCCTAGATAAGTTACGAGAATGTTCCGCCGTGTTGAGCTGTTTGTATAAATTAGTCTACTGCCCGTTAAGGTTACTACGTACCATGCTGCACTTTCAAGTCGTTAAAACTGAAGAAACAACGCTATTGTATGGTATTTCTAATTCCTGCGCCGCACTCGGAGAGAACGTGTACCACTACTCTAGAAAACATGATCATATGTCTTCTCTTTCGCAATACACTCAGAGAGCAAATCACTGGGATTGATGAAAACATTCTAGCTAATGGCAAAAATGTATGTGTATTTTTTTTTTATTATTTACTTACGAAGTACAGTAGGTGATGCGTCTTTGAGCTAGAGGTAAGCACGTGACACGTCATGCTCGGTGCCGCAAGGCACATCGTATTTTTAAACTGAAAACGCTTGTTTAGGCTTCGTGATTTTCTGAGCTTTCTCTGCAGGTCCCACTGATTGGCTCTCTCGGTGCTTTGCGGCAAAGTCGACGCACGGTCTTTTTTTTTTTTTTCTTTTTAGAATGTGTCAGAAAATATTAGCGAGTGTCATCTTCCATCATCGCTCTTCCTTTTCTGACCAGAGCAGAGGCATGCATCGAACGTTCGATGTTCTCGAGGGAGGAGAGTGAGTTATGGCTGGGGGGAAGACAGATATTGCCCCCATCAGCCTTCCACGAGGACAAAGTAACCGGCTATTCGCGTCTCAAGCTCGTTGCTTTCCAACCTGCGGTGAAAACAGGAAGCGCTTTTCTTGCGAGAGTCCCAAGCCCAGGAGCCAAGGCGAAACGTAAAAACACCCGTGACCATGACTCGCGCACAGAGTTTTCTAGGTGTTATCGGCAGTGCTCCAGTGCAGCTGCGGCATCATAATTGTGTTGTATGTATGTTTATAGCACTGGAACGTAGCCAGCTCCAATACACTCTTAGAAAAAAGGGGACCAAAAGGAGGTAACAGACCGCCTTTACCACCCTCCTCCCGGCCAGGGGGGAAGCGCTCCGCTTGTTACCTCCTCAGGCGCAGCGGACACTAGGAATGCGGTGCTACAAGGTGAAGTTCGCCTCGAAGGGGCACCAAAGAGGTAAATATTACCTCCCAGAGGGTGCACGTGTTCGAGCACTGCCAAAGCCTGGGCGCTGCGATTGGCTGTGGAAAGGCGCAAACCAGTTCGCTAATTGGTCTCCTCGTATGACACGTCATTCTTCGCGCATGCGTGGTAGAGCTCTCGCCCGGCCGACCGGGAGCGTCGGCGCCACAGGTCGGCGCCTTCCCCGTCGACGCTCCCGGTCATAACGGCATAACGGTCTTTCTTCTCGAACGTTCGACGGAGGCGTCCCTGCGCAGGAACGTTCCTTGTTGTTCTGTTCGGCTCAGTCTCTTCTTACGAGGTCACTGAGAGCACTGCATTGACTTCAGTCGAAGATCCAAGTCGTGTGCACCGTATGCAGGTAAGGAAATATTCTGCGCGGGCGGCAGTTGGCGTCGGTTATGACCGCCCGGGAAGGCGACCTCCGTCTTCCTTAGACAAAGGCTTGGCGGACATGTTGGCACGTTTGAAGGCGTCGAGCGTTCGATAAAATGTGTGTGTGGCGCGAACGCAGACACGGTTTAGACCATCGAAATTCATAAAGAGCAAGAACAGAAATGACTGTCGCTTGCACTAGCGCATATTTAGAAGGTTGACATTCGCTAACCAGTGGCGTAACCAGCAGTTTTTCCCGGTGTATGTGTGTGCGGGTGGAGGAAGGGGAGAGCGGTGGTTCGGCGAGCCGGGCGACAAGGCGCCTTTTGAATCGGGGGTCGCCTAGGTTTAAGGCGTGAGGGGGTCGGAGGTTTTCTCTTTTTGGGGCCGTTGGTGTGTCGCGTCGGGCGTTAAATTGAGGATCTGATCAAATATTTGAAAATCTCATAAGGTGGTTGGTGTCTTTTTTTTTTCGCAGAGCAGTAGTCGATCAGGCATTCATTGGCGGCACCGGCCAACAGGCGCGATTAATTCTCAACGTCGTTGATATTTGTAAAAGTCAGTATTGAACACTGATTTTTAATAGCAACGTTTTTTTTTGTTTTTTTTTTTAATTTAACGAGGTTTAATAAATAGTTTGGCAAAATGTCACGTTATGAAATACCGAATATAAATGTGTGAGCTAATTATTCGTGTGCTTCATAAACATTAATAGTAGTATATTACGGAATGAGGTCATGAAGGTGTTACCGGCAGCGAGACTAGCAATTATATTGTCTTGGCATTTTCTTTGCGTGTGATCAGGCATTTCTAAAACATCATTCAGTAGGCGAGTTAGATATAACTCAAGTTTGCATTATTTGAAGTTGATTGAATATATTTCTTTCGTCCTGCGGCAACGTTGTAGGGTGATTTCGTCGAGGGTACTGGATGCCTGCTACCTTGGACTCATCTCGTGACAGTTCTTAACACTGTTAACTGCAGGTAAGCGTAGTTCGATATTTTATTCTGATTTTCTAGTTCCCATTTGTGCACTTGAAATGGGGCTCTTGATCTTTATGTTTATTTTGTGTGTGTGCTGTTTGTTCATTTCCGAGAGAAAATTGAGGGTATTTGTAGTAAATAAATTAGGGTAAGACACACAAGGCGCTTGAGTGCGTCTCTTTCGGTGTTCTTTTTTGTGTTTTCGTCCTTGTGCGCTGTTCTTCTCATGTCTAAATAAAACATACATTGAATTTTAATCAGGCAAATCACTTCGGCAGAAATATTTACATATTTGCCGAAGTTCGACATTCGGCAATTAGAAATTATTCGTGCGCTCCGCAATCATTAAAAGTAGTATATTACGGAATAAGGTCATTAAGTTGTTGCCAGCAGAGAGACTAGCAATTATAATCTCGTCATGACTTTTTTTTTTTTTGCGTGTGATTAGGCTTCTTTAAAAGTCTAATCTTTCAGTAGGCGCGTTAGGTATGGCTCAAGTTTGCATTATTTGAAGTTGATTGAATATATTTCTTTCGTCCTGCGGCAACGTTAAGTGCAGGGTGATTTCGTCGAGGTTACTGGATGCCTGCTACCTTGGACAAATCCCGTGACAGTTCTTAATACTGCTTACTGCAGGCAAGCGTAGTTCGATATTTTATTTTGATTTCCTTGTTCCCATTTGTGCACTTGAAATGGGGCTCTTGATCTTTATGTTTATTTTGTGTGTGTGCTGTTCTTCTCATTTCTGAGAGAAAATTGAGGGTATACTTCGAGTAAATAAATTAGCGTAAGACACACAAGGCGCTTGAGTGCGTCTTTTTCGGTGTTCTTTTTTGTGTTTTCGTCCTTGTGTGCTGTTCTTCTCATGTCTAAATAAAACATACATTCAATTTTAAATTTTAATCTGGCAAAGTTCTTCGGCAACAAAATTTACATATTTGTCGAAGTTCAACATTCGGCAGTTAAAAATTATTCGTGCGCTTCGCAAACATTAATAGTAGTATATTATTGAATAAGGTCATTGAGTTATTGTCGGCAGAGAGACTAGAAAGTATATTGTTGTCTTGGCATTTTTCTTTTTTGCGTCTGATCAGGCATTTTTAAAAGCTGATCATTCAGTGGGCGAGTCAGATGGCTCAAGTTTGCATTATTTGAAGTTGATTGAATATATTTCTTTCCTACTGCGTCAACGTTGTAGGGTGATTTCGTCGAGGGTACTGGATGCCTGCTACCTTGGACGCAACTGCAGGTAAGCGTAGTCAGATATATTATTTTGATGTTCTTGTTCCCATTTGGGCGCTTGAAATGAGGTTCTTGATTTTAATATTTTCTTTGTGTGTGTGTGGTGTTCGTTCATTTTCCAGAGAAAATTGAGGGTATACTTCGAGTAAATAAATTAGAGTAGGACACACAAGGCGCTTGAGCGTGCCTTTTTCGGTGTGTTCTTTTTGGGTGTGTTCTTTTTCTTTGTTTTCGTCCTTGGGTACTGTTCTTCTCATGTTTAAATAAAACATACATTCAATTTTAATCTGGCAGAGCACTTCGGCAAAAATATTTGCATATTTGCCGAAGTTCGGCAGCTAGGGTTGGCGGTTATGTGGGTCTGCTGTGGTGCTGAGTAGCTAATGTGGTGTAGCGTTCTGTGGTGTACGTGCTTCCTCTGTCCTTGTCTTAAAGCGCACTCATGTTTTTTCACGTACAATACCAACTCGCCCAACAATCAGCACTTGTATATACTAACCTGCTACAGTAGTTGTACCCCTTTGACTAAGATTTGTTAGTCTTCTAAGTAAATCAGGGTGACAAATTTAAACATGACCGGCGAATACAAAGTGCTTACTAATCTACGATTACCACCAGCCATGTGATAATTTTAGTCAGGGGTGGTTAGTCAACAGTTAAACTAGTCACGTCTGGTAAGTATGGTTGATGCTTTATAATGCTAGAATCAGTGGCCCATCAAATGCTCAAAATGCGTCTTAGAAAAATCTAATATTTCTTCACAGTTTATTTAAATTGGGGATGATATGTTTCAACTTCATATCACATGATTTCCACATTTTTTTGGTTCCAGGCAGGCGGTGCAATCTACCCGGTGGCTGTCAGCTCAAGCCTAAGTAATCCTGAGGCGCCCAGCGATGTGGCAGTGGAGGGAGACCTCGAAGCCGCGTCGCCTGCTGAGGCAGTCCTGGTTGCATTCTGCCTCTACTTCATCTTTGACTACACGTATCATCACCAGTTCAGGCGCAGATTCATTACACTAGAGTACTTAATTGACCTGAAACACTCAAATGTGGAGTCTGGT